CACACACACACACACACACACACACACACACACACACCTCCTTATCTCCATTTCATTACACTTACAAAATGGCTCATAAAAACGTGGATTCATGAAGTTCTCTTAACACATTAACAGAATGGCTCTTAAAAAAAAAAGGTCATGTAAGCTCTTTAAAGAAAAAGTCTCAGCGCTTCTTCTGCTAACTGGCTTATTATTTTACACTTCGGAGAACTTTTATCGGGAGTTATGCGGCGCCGTGCTCTCTCAGTGGTTATTTGGACGGCTCCTTTTTTTTTTTTTTTTTTTTTTTTGCGAGGAGAGCCCGAGCCTTCGCACGTCTGCCACCCTTTTGCACCGATCTGACAGTGACGGTGACAGACAAGGCATCTCTGGCATGGCGCTGACATGGCGCTGACATGTCGCTGACACCAAATGTTCATGTTTGCATTCGGGAGGCGTGTGGCGCAGAAAGTTAAGGCATGTTAAACTATCGGTCGTGGAAGTACTATATGTGGAAGAATGCTTTTCTAAATGTTACTGGTAAAATTAAACTCACTCAAAACGCATTATTATTTTTATTCCAACAAAGACAAGCCCGTAATTTGACTTTGTGTATCATCGTACGCGAGTTCCTTCTGTGACAATACTGCACCTGTTATTAGAATGCACTCTTGAAGCCCGTGATGTCACATGCCTTTCATCGAACTTCATTTTTCACAAAACTCATCAGGCAGATTCTCGAAAGGCATCACTTTCCCTGTAAAGAAAAAAAAACCACATTTGTTGAGCCATTATCATTGCATCATCAAAGAGAACAAGAAATTTCCACTACTTCAGACTGCCGAATAGTTAAAATAGAAATAACAAACGTGGGGACAGACCAATAGTATCGATTTATGAAAAAAAATACTAAATTGACCAAAATCTGACATAAGTTCCTACCCAACATAATCGTGATTGAAATAAATCGGTTTATAGTGCAACATGATCAGCAAACTTTTCTGACACTTAAAAACTTGTCATTGTTCCTCCTCCGTCCAATAAAATCCAAATTCTCCTCCCTACAGCAACACTGCTGCAACACTTGTGTTAATAATATTTGGAATGGAGGAAAAGTGGTGGGTTTCATAGCACATCTGTGACAAACTACCTGCTGGGAAAGATAAAAGTAGCGGTTTGGGATCAAGAGGCAGGGCTCCTCACTGGGATTCTCAACCCAGTTTAACACCATTTTGGGACATTTTGAACTTTTAGGCTGAAACTTTCACACACTTGGTATTTTCTTTCCAAATGATTTTTTTGGGGGGTACTACACTACTAATCTTGAATGGTTCACTGTATTGATATGCTATAGGGCTCTGGTGATGGAGCTGTTCTGATGACTTAGTGAGATTTTGAATATTCATCAGCGGGCAGTTGACGGAAACTGCCATTTTTAGATGGAGGTTGCTTGGAAACGTATCGTTTTAATATATATCTAAAAATTCATCTAACCTGCACCCTGTAAGCTGAGTAGCTCTGAAAATGTTTTTCTATGAATTACGTAGATGCATAAGCAGTTCGCTTAGTAACAGTGATGAGCAATGTGAGGAAGAAAAATGAACAGAAAAACATGCCTAATTTTTTTTTTTTCCAAATGTTAAGGTACCGCTCACTGGTATCAATTTGTGCGCCGTGGCAACGCAGCTTTTGCTTAGTTGGGTCTTTCTTCAGCCCTTTTGTGACGGAATAATAGAAGCTATCCCAGCACAAGGATCAGTTGGTTTGACTTCAGTTTTTACAAAGGGCGGCGGATTTCATTGACTTGCTTGGGTTTGTTTAAATCAGCTCTTCTGCACGACAATGGGACGGACAACCTGCGTCGGTTGAGCCGCGTGACTTCCGAGCGCTGACTTAAGCGGCAACCTGAGGCCGCAGGAAGGAGCAGCGAATTAATGTGTCTGCTTGTCTGTTGAGCTTGAAACAGGAAGAATATTTTTTGGGAGAGGAGAGAGAGAGAGAGAGAGAGAGAGAGAGAGAGAGAGAGAGAGAGAGAGAGAGAGAGAGAGAGAAATAATTATCTGTGGCCAAAACGAAACTGGCAGAGAATGCGAGGAGTGCATGTGGCAGTGGGCTGCACTATAAAGACATCTGCTGATTGCACAGTTTGGGGAGAGGACTGCTACAGAGACCAGCCTGGCAGGGAAACGTGCAAAAGAGAGACGGCAGGAACAAGAGACGCTCGCAGTCAGTCACCTTGAACATGAGGACGTATGTACACCCACTGGACACAACATTAGGCACGCCTACGCAGTCCAACACGAGCTCAATCCAACATTTTGTCTCGACGAACATAATGTGCAGTTTAAATGAGAGGTAATATTTGGAGCTCGGCGCATCATACGGAAAGGTAACAAGCAGATTAGAAACAGCTCTGTATAGTATCATTTATTGTCACATAGTATCAGTGTATGAGTGTCGGATTACACTGGTCGACACATTTTTTTCCATTTTTTTTTTGCACTCAATAACGGACGACAACGAGGCACTCTAAAGCTGGCACTGCGGTAACAAATCTCTCATTTTTAGAGTCGACATAGTTTTTTATTTTCCGATATTTTAGCGAATTGTTGATATTGAAACTGTTGTTTACAATAATATGAAATATATAGGACCCCTGACTCGTTTTTGATGAACACATGTGCCTTCTAAACAACTGTATTTTAATTTCAGTCATGAATTACTTTGGGGAGTTGGTGCTTGGTGTTTGACAACTCCTGGCCAAGATCTTAGAGATTCGGCAACATCACTGCCATTCTACCGTCGTTGAACAGGCCTCCTCTTTTCATTTTAGAATTCAAGACAAAATTTTAACAGGCAGGTTTCATCATACTTGGTGGATCTGGTGTCATTTTATTGTCCTGCTAGGTTTTCTATTTCTTACTGGCCATCCAACAAGGATTAAAAACTTTGCAATCTGCTACCCCTTGAATGCACTTGCACTTCAGTGAGAAGGTGCTCTTCAGGGAAACGTTTTTGAAAAGCTATTAAGACCACATCGGTTTTGGACAGTCATTCCAGTAGGACTTCATTATCTCATTGAGTTTTTTCTTGTATGAACAGTATCATGTTCGTCCAGCTAACCATGTGAGCTGTGTGAATCAAGTTTACATCTTAAAAATAATGTGGCCAAACGGAGAAGGTTGGGAGATTTTTGACACATAATTGAGTGTGGAGTCTGTAGGAGAGTGGCCATACATGCCATCCTACTTATGGACGATAAGAGTGTGACATTACGGCAGCCATTTCACATCGACAACACCCACACCCTTCTGCCACGTTCCTTATACATTTGAATCAGTGTTGACTGCACTTGTTGCAACCGTGGACCTAAAGAGCTCTCACAGGCACATATTTTGTTCCAAGTAATCTGTTGATATCGAGAAGCACACTGAATGGGTTGAAGACACACTCACGAACTGAGATTGTTCTGTGCAGTGTAGAACAACATTACCTGCAAGTCCTATTGACAAGCGTTTTCTAATATTTTGACCCGTTGATGGAATTATATAGGGTCACCAAAATATTGGGAAAACATTTTTTTTTCTTTTCATCTAAAATCCTAGTATACATATTATTTTTTCAGATGAAACAAATTGGAGATATACCTAAAATACGGACCATTTAGCGCGAGTATGTTTGTGAATGGGGGATAGTTGCTGTGCGATTAAATCAGAAGCATAAAGGAGACATGTTTGAATGACAAAAGATTTTTGTTGTTGTTGACTATTATGCAATGAAAGTTGTCTCACAGTCGATTAATCAATGATGTCATTGATGATTTTTTTTCCCACAGTACTTCAGCAGTCCCCAATCTTGTTTTTTGCGCCACGGCCCGGTTTCAGGTGAAGACATATTTTGACGGGCCAACAGGAAAACATAAAAACAAATGATTAGTAATACAACAAGCCGGCTGACTTATCTTGTGAAAATAGGATCATGTGTTGGAAGACGAGCGGTGATCAGAATAGCCAAGGCTAGCTAACAGCTATCCTCACCCACAACCAGCCAAATTTCGTACCCGTGCAAACCCATGAAGAAGGTTTCGCCCTTTTTGGACTTTTGCAGCAGACACAGAGCATTACAGTCTACCGAGTGCAGTAGATGAGCGGGTGGTAAGTCCGATTAGTCAACTTTTGAATGCTAAATGTTGACCTACACAGAAAAAAAAACGGTGCATAGAATATTCATCTACTTAAAAAAAAAAACATGTATCTGGATCCAGATGATTTTATTTTGTACAACCACTAACAAAATAAAATCAATTCAACAAAATCGTTTTTCAGTGTAGTCAAGTCGACTCGTTGACTAGTCAACTAATGGTTTGAAACTCCACGACGAAGTCTTCTATACGAAGTCATTTGAAATCTTAGATCGCTAGCTTACAACATCCTCCTTGAACCATAAAGTCACCTGCTAACTCATGGACCTACAAACCTTTGCAATGGATATCATAAAGTACATGTACAGCTAACAAACCAAAAAAAAGATTGTTGAATTTAACCCTTTCAGAGACAATGGTTACTACAGTGGACAGCCTATGTTATCAGGTTACAGGGTGCATGAAAGGGTTAATCCATTTTATTTCGCCAAGTGGAAGAGTATACATCGACTCAAAAAAATATATCTGGATCCAGATGATTTTATTTTGTGGAGCCACTTGAAATAAAATTGAATAAATTCAACAAACCATTTTTTTCATGCATATGTTGGACTCCAGCGCGACTGCGAGTCAGTGGCACCGATGGGTGTCATTGCAGATCAACAGTATTTATGCACCCTGTCATTCACCCAGACCCGAGGTAGCATGTTGACAGAGCTTATGAAGACATCTCAGGCATCTGGTTCTCCCTCAGCTGAGCCACATGTGCTCCTCTGATCACATCGCGCCAAACGCGCCTCTTACGTGTGTTTTCCCCAAGTCTGCCCTCACTCCAGTGACCTCTGACCCAGACACTCTCTTCTGCTTTGTTGTGCAGGTCAGAGTCCAGACAGACACAGTCAGACGCATGGCCACAGTTTGGTACGCAGATTCACAGAGGCAGGTAGGTCTGCTCCAGGTGCCGCCCCCCCCCGCACCCCCACTCCAAGCAGGGATCCCCCACCGCTCTGCAGCTCTCAGGTCAGGGCCGAGGGCCCAGTGGGCCCCGAGCGCAGGTCACAGAGGGCTGGGATAGGCCGGAGATGAGATGGCGGACTGGCATGAGGACTGGTGTTTGATGTGGCGCCGGACTGGGCTATGTTACCGTGTTGCTATGGCTTTAATTAGCTCCTGCAGCTGCTACTTCCTGGTTGACACGTCCTGGCAAACTGGGGCTCTGTAATCTCTTACAGGTTGGGACTGTTTCGGGATCTTTCAGGATCTGTACTTTCACAGAAGTACAGATACTTTGTGTGGAAAACAAACATGGAAGTACTTGATGACTTAGAGATCTTGGAAAGTGAATTGTGATTTTTTTTTTTTTAATGCATTGTCCGTTTTTGAACATTGCTGAAAAGACGCCAAGACTGAGAACTGTGCTATGGTTAATTGGGCCACTACAAACTACATGGGGAACTCAAGGCAAAAAGATTCTGCGCAAAATGTTCTATGAGTAACCACTAGTCTCAACACGATACTCTGATGAATATTGCATATTGCGGAATAAGAATCATCTATCCGTCCTCTGCCGTCGACTGAAATTGATGTCAAAGTGCCCTCGGGCTCACATTGCGAACATCACGACTCATCTGATTTCTGTAAAAAAAAAAATAATAAATTAAAAAAACAACAACAAAAAAATACAAATAAAGTCTGTTATGCTCACAAAATTATGACATTACTTGAAGTCAATGTTTGGACCTATCAAATGAGACCGGCTAATTTCCCACGTCACACCTGATCTCTCACGGCACGCTTTATGGGGAATCTATTGAGTGTTTAGCGCAGATGCCGTTGACGAGTTCTCTCTTCACAAAGACGCGTTAAGTAACCACTGGAAATCACCCACAGAGGGGTAGCGGCGAGAAATTGATCTCAGATTAGTTGAGCGAGTCATCCGCTCTCCTCCTTTGTCCCTGCCAAGATGGTGGATCTCGACTTAGAACTCCTTAAAAGGGAGACTTCACAGCTGGCTAGAGAATACTAATACCCTGGACTCATTAAATTAATGGGAGCCTGATTCCCCCTTATACTCAACGTGCACCGTTGCCCTTTGAGTTTGCCGGGGCTAGAGGCTGCGCAGCACTTTGAAAGCCCTGACCGGCATATTGAGCGTGTTTTAATAGAAGCCTTTTGAGACTCCTGGTAAGATGCGCAGTAACTCTTTACCTTCAAGTCCTCGCACCTCTCTGTGTGATCTCGTCACATCGCCGCTCTATACTTGGATCCAGGCCCCGAGACAGGAAGGGGACCGACTGCGGTAAATGAGGCCAGAGGTGTCCATATCTGAGCGGAGGCCATTCTTTCATGGAGATGTGAATCTTTTAGACATGTGCCTGACCCTGCTTTGATGTAGAAAGGTGCCAGCCATAAGACGGACAAAGAAGGCTTACACGCGGACGTTCGGTGCGGTGGCCTCCAGGGACGAGAGTTCGGCTTCTCATTGGACTGTCTTGCTTAACGCTGTTGATTTAATTACTTGGCTCGGACATAAGCGCCGTGAAATAAATGAGGGTCCAACTTGACACCACTATAAAAGCCACCGTCCGCCTAATGGGAAGACACGCTGAGAATCGTTCCATAATGCAGACGAGAACCCAAAGATTCATCGCCAAAAGCGGAATTCTGAAGTGTGAAGGACAAAGACAAAGTGATTTTTTTTTTATATAGCTCCAGTATTTCTATAATGGGGGTGAAAAAAAGATTGCCAATGTGACTTTTTTTTTTATATTTGCCTAACAGCTGTAAGATAAGTCGGTAAGACAACAAAGCCAGGGAAGTCTCATTACCATAACGTGGAAAAAAAAAACAATCAAGCAAGAATTCATCAGTCTGATCGTTATCTAACTCAACATGTTAAGATAAACATAATTATGGCAGAATCATCATATCGAGCATCTGCATAGCTGTCGGTAACAGACAAATGTTACTTGACACCCACAGTCACAGGCAACATCATTCGGTACACTGGTAAATCTAATAAGAGATGTCAAAACAATTCTGCCTTGACAAAGGAAGGTGCCAAGGCCGAAAAGTTTCAATTTGGACAATCTTTTTGGCGATTGCTTTTAGAGTTCAAAGAAAATGTCGATGACTTCGTATTGATTTGACGAGTGTTTCCCTGTTGTGGTCGTAGTTGACGGTAATCATGAGAGCTGTTTCTCATTTTTAGGGTTGCCGTATTGGCGGCAAATTATAAGAAACAGGTCTCAGGATGATGCAATGCTCCACTTCACCAACATATAATACTCATACTCATACAATAATCAAATGAATACCACTGAGAGCAGGCTCTTCAAAGTCTGGCCCGCGGGCCATCTTTAGCCTAATAGCATAAGCGCCCATGTCATTTTAAGCTTAACGTCACAATATCAATGGCAAATTAGAATGTTTTTGCGAAGAATGATTCTTTTCTTTGTGTGTGTAGATTCCCCAAACTATCAAGCACAATGGCTCATTATTTTATATGGAGACAAGACGACGACAATATCGAGGCACTGTTCATCGTGCGATATTTTGAATACTATGACATCCCTAATAGCATTACAAGGGAAACGAATATGAGCGATGTGTTCGAAGTAGTGTTTGTGGCGATGCGTGGATTTGTTGATAGGTTTATTTTAGTGTGTTTTGCCCATCCGAGTTAAAGAACCTCAAGTTAGCTTGCATTCTTTGATTGTTGTGGATCCCCACGTTGCACCAACAGGCGAGGGCATCATACTGGCCAAAAATGGCTGAGTCAGGCACTCAGCAACGCATCGCGCCGACACTTCTTTATCCTTTTCCGTGTGACAAACGTCAACAATATACCTTACAGTAACGCCACGCAGCACTGATTGGATTTCCACGGCCGCCTCTGACAGTAATGATTCCTCCCGGCCTTTGATCGCAGCCAGATATCACCACGGCGGCAACATGGCCGCATATACGGCTCCTCGCTGATGGCAACAAGCAGCCAGCGTGCTTACATGACTCCCACTCCAGAGCGGGCTAATTTATTCTCATCACTCGGGATGCAACTCGCAGCGACAAGGATTCACCGGTCGCCGTGGTCCCTGGCAACAATGCGGGAGTCTGCGAGGGGGGGATTAGCCGCAATCAAGAAGGGAAGGGTACGGTTACCAGGCAGGTTTAGAGCCACGTGGGCTCCCACTGTGACGCGGCACTCATCTGAGCAAAACCGGACCAAAAAAGAGGGGAACCTCGCTGAGATCTTATCCCACAGAAGCCAATTTCCTCCACCAAAGTTCGTCTTCTCAGAGTGTGGCTCAAGCACTTCAAAGTGGAGAGCCATATAGAGAGCGCGATTCATTTGGCAGCTCATGTTGTCCGCCTTCAAAAAAGCCAAAGCTCGCCGCTAGACGCTCGGCGGGGCTGATTCCGGCTTCAGAGAGGGGAAAGAATTTGGCGGCGGCTTAGGACGCCCATCCCCATCCAGAGGTGGGCTCTTTTTCATCTCGGCGCAGCCTTAGCGACTGGGTTTGGTGACTAGGCGCTTCACAGGTGGGAGTCGGCCCGGGTCAAAGAAGCGCGCTCACTAAGGACGGGATTTGCCGCTGTTATTTTTCTATTAGGGCAGAATTATGCTAAGCCTTCAGAGGCCATCTTTGTGTTGCTATGGTAGCCCATATTTCCTACCGGGTTGTGACCTTGAATGACTACAGTGCAAAGCCAAGTCGCCCCCGCACCCTTTGAGGATTAAAAGCAGGGTCTCTTAGTTATGCAAAACACCTCTGATATGATTGAGCCTTGAATGGTTGAATGACAAACTTTATTGAGATTGCCTCTCTTTTCATCTGATTATTGTCACTCGATTATTTCCAATCACTTGGCACGGCTTCAAACGACGCTTTGTGAAGGACCACGCCGAGCTTTTCTTTCCCGGCACCTCCGCAAAGCTCATATCGCCCACCATTTGCGGGAGACAAACCACGAATCAGTCGCTGGCCCGGGACAACATTTCTCAAACTGATATAAGCAAAAATAGATGACTTTGGAGGATAAAAAAAAAAAAAAAAAAAAAATCACCATTACATTTGATAAAAAGTATTTGATGGACCGGACAGCAGATCTCTATTTTGTTGATTTTAATACTTGGTGATATCACAAAAGAGAGAAGTCTTACGTATTTTGGGGAAACAAGTTTTTCTATGAGTTTTGACCCATTCTCGACGAGTAATCTTTTTTGGGGAGCCATTTTGGAATAGATCCAGCCAAGGGTGTCAATTTGACTTCTTATATGATTCCTCTTTTGTACTTTCCTTTTAGAGGTTGTGAGCGCAAGAGTCAGAATGTGAAAACAAGGCAGTTGCCGTTGCGTTGAGTTAAGAGTTTTCTTAATCAATACACTTTACTAAGTTTTGGAACGTCCCAATTACCCTCGCCCCCTTTTTTTTATTTCATTGAAAGTCCGGCAGATCAAGTCCAATTAATAGCTTGAGATTGTACATAAACTATGTAAGGTTTCCCAAAACTAAAAAAAAATAAATAAATAAAAAATTACTATTCATAATTGTACAAATTGGGACGAACCCTTTCATGACAACTTTAACCCTGTCAGGGACAACGGTTACTACAGTGAACAGCTTAGCGTGTTGTCAGGTTACAGGGTGCATGAAAGGGTTAATGAATCAACAATTAAAAATACATTTTGGTTTATAGAATGAGTCCATGAATCGTTCTGCGCTTTCATTTCACAGAACGAGAAAATGAACTGCATGAATTTCAATTTAAAAAAAAAAAAAAAAAAACAA